GGACTCCTAGGCAATGTTGATACCAACCAACGCTAAACACAGTGAGTTAACTTTTACTGTTTGAGATCAGTGTTATTTACTCTGCCTCCAATAACATGCAGAGTTTGTCGTATGGCCGTTCCAAGACATTATGGTTAGTCTTGACCATCACTCGCCGCACCACTCCCTTATGGTCAGGCATTACTTCAACAATTCTGGCCATAGGCCACACACATCTTGGAGTGTTCATATCTTTGATTAGCACCACATCCCCTACCTTCAAGTTCGGATGGGTTTTCAGCCACTTCTGTCATTCTTGTAAGGAAGGCAAATACTCCCTTACCCAGCGATGCCAAAACAAGTCTGACATGTATTGGATTTATCGCCATCTACGTCTAGCATACATATCATGCTTTCCAGCCAGGCAAGGAGCTAAAGCCGTGGACTTCATTGTGAACAGCATGTTAGGTGTTAACGCCTCCAAATCTCCAGCATCTTCAGAAGGCTTTGTGATTGGCCTACTGTTTATTATCTGCTCAACTTCACAGAAGAATGTCTGCAGACCATCGTCGTCTAATTGTTGCTGTTTTGTAATTGCTTGCAGGATTTGTCTGAGTGTGCGAATCTGTCTCTCCCAAACCCCATCAAAGTGAGAACCGGAGGGAGGATTGAATCTCCAGTCTATTCCCTTCTGTAGTAAGAACCCATTAATTTTCAACTGGTTCCAATTCTGCAATTCGTCTTTCAGCTCTCGTTGTGCTCCCACAAAGTTGCTACCATTATCTGACCTAATTAGTTTCACAGCACCTCGCCTTGCAATAAATCTTCGTAATGCATTGATGAATGAGTCGGTGCTCAACAATTCTGCTTTCTCTATATGTACTGCCCTCACTGCTAAACAGGTGAAAACAGCTCCATATCTTTTCATGATACTACGTTTCTGTTTCACTTCAATTGGCCCAAAGTAGTCCAAACCTACACGGGTGAATGGTGGGTCATACGCCTCCGGTCTGTCTGATGGCAAGTCAGCCATTTTTTGTTCACCAATTCTGGCTCTATACCGTCTACATGTCACACAATTATAAATCAACTTCCTTGTTGCTGAATTGGCATTTGGAATCCAATATTTCTCTCTCAACTTGGACAATATATATCCTCTTCCGAAGTGTCCACCTGATTCATAAATTTCACAAAGTATAAGCATCGACACATGTACTCCCTTCGGCAGAATTAGTTGATGCTTTGAGTCTTCCCTCGACCCGCAACAAACCATCCTCTCCAAATACTGGATCTAGCTTGTATATGTGGCTACTTTGCTTTACCATTTCTTTGCACTTCTCACACTATGTATTTCTTCATCAAATGCTTCTTGTTGAACACACTTAATAATCGCATGTTCAGCTTCTTGAAGATCTTGAACAATGATACCCGTCAAGAAGTTATCTTGCTCGTTCCTACAACGTTTCAACAACGCCTTCTTTATCTTCAAGATCCATGATACTGCTTGCTTTAGTTTATACCAACTTGAGTACCGCTCAAACAACTCATTAATTAGCTTCTCTGAGTCATTGGTAGATACTGCATTCACAATCACATGTTTTTTGACCTCCGGATCTCCATCATTCAGTTGCATATCGCAAGATCTAACAGGCCACTGGTCTTGTGTTTCCCAACGGAATTCAGGTCCGGTAATCCGTCTCTGGCTTTTCAGAAACACCTGAATTGACTGCCCCCTGGAACCATCATCTGCTGGATTATGACTAGTGTTGATATAGGACCATTGGTCTGGATTGGATGCTTCATGAATCACAGCTACTCTATTGGCTATGAAGGTATGGAACCTTGCAGTCTCATTCTTGATATACCTCAACACAGTCATGCTATCAGTCCAATAGTGTGTAGAGTCAAATTGGATGTCCAATTTCTTCTTGATCAGCTTATCCATACGAACAGCAACTGTGGCGGCTGACAACTCCAAACGTGGTATAGTGACTTGCTTGAGGAGTGTCACTCTTGATTTACCCATGATGAAAGAACAATGTATTTGGCCTTCTTCATTTATCATCCTTATATAGGACACAGCACTATAGCCTAAATTACTCGCATCGGAAAAATGATGCAATTGCGTTTCTACTGGTGTGCCAAAGTCATTTGGCTTAATACATCTCCTGACTTCAAAATGTTCTCCTAATTTGGGCAAGTTGTACAGCCATTCTTGCCAACGCTTTTGGTGTTTATCAGGAATCTCTTCATCCCATCCAAGCTTCTGTCTACACAAATCTTGCAGTATCATTTTGGGTCTCAAAACAGCAGGTGCAGGGATCATAAATCGAGCTTCCAAGACTTAATATCCCTCGCCTTGTTGCAGGTTTTTCCTTGTATTTATTCTGGAAACCAAAGGTATCAGCTTCAACATTCCATTTCATGCCTAATGCTCTTTCAGTCGGCAAGTTGTCACTTTCTAAATCTATATCTTTCACTTCCAGTGCTCTTTCACTTTCAGGTATTGATTCCAACAACTGTCGCTGATTACTAATCCATTTAGTTAGCCTAAACCCTCCTTTATTACAGGTGTCTATCAGTTTAGCAGCTAGTATTTTTCCTTCATTTATGGTTGCAACTGATTTGAGTAAATCATCAACATAGAAGTTGTTGTTTATTGTCGTAGTGACTATATTGCTGTCAGTATCTGTGTTATCTGCTGCTGTTCTCTTCAATGCATGATTAGCACAGCTCGGTGAAGATGTTGCACTGAATATGTGGACGTTCATTCTATATTCAGCCATTGGTTTAGTAGTGTCACCCTCTGGCCACCATAGGTAATGTTGAAAATCCATGTTTTTCTTTAGTACTGCACTTGGGAAAACATGATCTCTATGTC